ATTGAGTTTAATGGATATATAATAGAAGGTCAAAAAGGATTTTCCAACAACATTAACTGATGCTATCACTAAGGCTCAGATCTTTTTGCCCAAACCGTTGGTCAACTCTGTCAACTATGGTAAATGGGATGGTCTCCGGGTGGTCAACGTGATGACAAACCCACCAATACTTCATCTTTGGGGAAGAAACAAGTGTTATTTCATCGTGGCTCAAAGAGTGAAGATGGTACTGAGGCTAAAAGACATCATTTGGACCAGCAAGAGAAGGACAAGGTAGAAGGCAATTATTTTAGTTGTCATAAGGCTAGATATCATGGCAAGGATTGTCCTTTTGTGAAAGAATCAAAGAATGCTAAGGTGAATATGGTAGAATCCATTGTGGATACAGCTCAAGCATCTACTGTAGTGGCTCTTCCACACCCTGTGGCAAAAGTTCACGAATCTAAGTCTTGAGTTTGTATCAACTTTATAGAGATTAATAGTTCTATGCGTAATCAATTTATGAAGGCCAAGGGGGACATTCAAGGTAATGCTGTCAATATTCTTTTTGATCCAGGTGCTACTCACAACTTTTTGAGCTCCAAGGTGGTGAAGAGCTTTGGTTTGCTTGTGGAAAAGAGTTTAGTAATCTACGAGGTGGTTATGGCAGATGGACATAACACTCGTGTTTACAATGAATGGGCTCCAAGTGTTCTTTTGACGATTCAGGGGATTCTCGACCATCCTTCATTCCAGGTTATGGATCTTGGTCGCATAGACGTTATTCTTGGGAAGGAATGGTTTTATAACAGGAAGCCAGGGATTGATTGGGAGCATAATATTTTGCGTATCGAAGTTGGTGGCACTATGAAAGAGATTGTCGGGATAGACAATAGTGATACTCCATTGATTAACGCTTTGGAGTTGGTGACATGCATGCATGAGATGGCTAGTTCTTTTGTGATATACCCATTTCTTTCTAATATGATCATGTTTGATTTGGAGTACATTTGTGGGCATGGGGCTCAAGTGGATTCCATTCAGGAGAAGTTTCGTGACGTATTTCCAGATGAGTTACCTTTGCCTCCCGAACGTGGAATTCAGCATGAGATTGACTTAGTTCCTAAAGCTATTCCTTATCAGCGATAACTGACTCATATTAGTCCCACTGAAGATGAGGAGATTAATAGGTAGCTTGCTGAATACCTTCGGAAAAGATGATTATGGATCAACAAGTCTCCTTGGGCTGCTCCAGAATGGTCAAAAAGAAAGATGGTATATGATGTCTCTACGTGAACTATAAGGGATTGAATGATAGGATAGTGAAGAATATGTTCCCAATCCCTCGTATTGATGATTTGCTTGATCGTCTTCGTAGTGCTCGATATTTTTTGAAGATTGATTTGAGGGAAGGGTATCATCAGATTTGTGTCAAGCCAGAGGATGTTTCGAAAACTGCATTTCGGACAAGGACAGGTCACTACAAGTTTTTGGTGATGCCGTTTGGTTTGACAAATGTTCCTGCAACTTTTTAGAGATTGATGAATTAAGTTTGCAATTGATTATTTTGATGATATCCTGGTATTCAGCTCTTCTGTGGAGGAACATGAGATGCATGTGCGAAGTGTTTTACAATTTTTGAGGGACAATAAGCTCTACTTGAAGTTATCAAAGTGCGAGTTTTTTTTAGAGGAGATTGGATATTTCGGGCATTTGATTTCATAACATGAAGTGAGAGCTGATCCTGCAAAGATTCAGGTCGTGGTTGATTGGCCTATACCTTCGACAGTGCATGATCTCCGTAATTTCCTTGGTATAGCTAGAGTTTTTCAACAATTTATGAAGGACTTTTCAGGGATAGCAGCCCCTTTGACTGATCTTCTCCAGAACACGTCAAAACATGCTACTATTCATGGTTGGGATGAGAAGTGTGAAGTGGCATTTCAATGTTTGAAGTAGTGTTGTATCTCTGCTCCAGTGTTGAAGATTTTTTATCCTAAAAAGCCTCTTGTGGTCAAGACAGATGCAAGTGACATTGTTATTAGAGCCATATTGCTTCAAGTTGGGCATCCTCTTGCGTACATGAGCTATAAGTTTGATGCCACATAGTGGAATTGGCATACTTGAGACAAGGAGTTGTATTCTGTGATTGCTGTTGTGAAGGAATGGTGACATTATCTGTATAGATCAGACTTCCATGTGGATTCAGACAATCAATCTCTCCAATATTTCCAAAAGGATCTTTGAGGCTGTTTTGCTCGTTGGCAAGAGTTCCTGTAGGAAATGTTTGTTAAAATCCAGTACAAGCATGGAGGTGATAATAATGTGGTTGATGCATTATTCATGATGGTAACTTCTATCTCGTTCGTGAAGCTATCCAGCGATCTCTTGGATAAGCTTAAGGAGTTTGTTGACTTCGACTCCTTTATCACTGATATTCGCATAAAGGTTTTATTGAGGGACATCTTTACAGATTTGAAGGGTAACAAGTTTGCATCATTCGAAATATGAGATGGAATCTTGGTGAAGAAGGGACATGTAATGGTTCCTTGTGTTGACAAACTCATCAAATGGATTTTCATGATGTGCCAAGTGCTAGATATCCGGGGGTATTGAGAACGTATATGTTGGTGAAGAGGCATTTCTTTTGGCCTGGGATGAAGTTAAATGTTGGAAAGTATGTACATGGTTGTTTAACCTACCAAGTGGTTAAAGTTGATCATCAGAAGCTTGTTGGCATCTATCATCCTTTACGTGTACTCAAGAATAAGTGGGATAGCATCTCAATGGACTTTATCACTAGTTTGCCCAAAACGTTTAGAGGAAATTATATTATTTGGGTTGTTATGGATTGGTTGACGAAGATGGCTCACTTCTTCCCTGTGAAGATGACGATAAAAGCTTCTGAACTTGCTTAGTTGTTTGTAGATTGGTTATTCAATCTCTATGGTTTACTAGGTGACATTGTGAGTGATCGGGATCCCAAGTTCACCCATCAGATTGTGGATGCTCACCACTACTCATGCTCAGCTTAGTCTCTAGCTTCTTAAAGATCGTTTGCCAAAACTTGGACATAGACAGAGCGTATGAATCAACTATTAGAAGATATGCTAAGGTCTTTTGTGAGAAACTTGACTCGACAGGGAGTATGGGAGAAGTACTTGCCTTTGCTTTAGTTTGCTCACAATAGCGCTTATCAATTAGCTATTGGCATGTCTCCCTTTATGGTGATGTATGGCTATGAGCCTAGATCTTATGTGAGTTTGAATTTGGCTTTGGTTCAGGTACCTCATGCTTGTCATTTCCTGGAGGATATACAAGACAAACTTGAGTTAGCAAAGTTGAACATAAGGTAAGCTCAAGAGCAAGACAAAAGATTGGCTAATGAGCATTATCGTCATCAAGAGTACAAATCTGGTAACAAAGTTTTCCTTAAGTTGTTAGATGCACAACGGTCTCTGAAAAAAAGTGGCAGTGCTAAGTCGTTTCCACGATATTGTGGGCCTTGGACAATTTTACAATGTGTGGGGGATCTTGCATACACTTTGGACTTGTCAACTAGTTTGAAGATTTATCCAACATTCCATGTGAGCAAGCTTGAAGCGTGTTTACACTCTGGTGATGTAATGGATTAGTCCATCATCCAGGTCCTAAAGATTGATGCAAAGAAAGCTGGTCCGGCCAATATTCTTGCTCAAAGATTGTTGAAAACATGCCGGAAGACAATTAGAGAGTTGCTAGTTCAGTGGAATGGTTATTCCATGGATGAAGTTACATGGGAAATTAAAAATGACATGAAGAGAGTGTTTCTGAGTTTTGGTTATGAATTAGATGACATTCCTGAGGAAGGGGAGAATTGAGTTTTATAGCCGTATTGCTATATGATTTGAGCTATTTAACTATTCTCATTCTCTTGTTTCCATAACCGTATTATCATGTAAGAAAGCTGTATTGCTTTCTTTCTTTTGTGACCGTTTGTCACGACATTGGTGTTGCCATTTGCACATCTTTTCTCTATGGCCGTATTGCATTAGACTCCTTTCATGTAAGGCTTGTTTAGCTTCTCGAGGCTTCCATATATGGTTGGGTCATGAGGTGAACCACAAGAATATTCCAAGAATATTCAATGGCCTGTCCATAACACGGGAGGTTGGCCTGGGGTTCGCTCTCTTGTTTGTTTCATTGAGCAAGGCATGGTATCTAGACGACTTGAAAGTGGATCAAATGCCGGACACAACCTTTCTTCATAAGCTGAGCCACCCTTGCCTGCAAACACCTCATGAATCTTGATCTTCCAATGACGGTCCTATGTCGACTACCTGAAATGCTCTCTCACCACTCCAGTCTTCAGATCTTCAAAGCCATGTCTCTGGCATGTAACAAAACCTTGGAGAAACTGATGCCCATGCAGTTTCGTGAAGATCAGCCACCTCTGGCCGTCTTGTAACCAGAGACACGTACTAGAGACACTGATGTACTGGAGGCACTCATGTGAAACATCCTGTATAGTAGCTCCTCAGTATCACGTCTCCCACCCTATTGGTGATGGACTCCAAGGTTCCAGTGATGGAAAACTTCTCTTGGATTGCCTCCCTAGTGCCAGTACCTGTGTCTTGAGGCCTCCAGATCTTTGTCCGGGAGGACTTCTTTCTGGAGAGGGCTCAGCTCATTGCTCAACCACACAGGGAGATAGAAAGTCCTGTATTTTGTGTCCTTTTGGTTAGTCTTTGTAGTTTTCTCTCGTTGGGCTGCTTACCAAGAGTGCCTTGCTGATGAAAAGAGGGACGTTTTTCAGCTCCACGTCCGCCAAGAAACATATATCCGGATCTACCTCAAGTTCCACTTCCATATACGTCCTGATAGTCTTGCAAGACTCTGTAGCTTCCATTACCATCCGACAGGAAGTAATAGAGACATCCCCCTCTGGTCAGCAGCAGTACCTTCTGCTTTTCCTTGAGCAGCAGCGCCAGAACGTAGAGGAGGAAACCAGGTTCCCGAGCACCAAAGCAGCCTGTCTTCCCTCACACCGGAAAAGGCTCCACCTTGAGCTTCCACATGTCCCTGAAGCATTCTTGCTCGATGATCTTTGAGTCTTCCGAATCCTGAATGGACTCAATAGTTGGATTGTCATCCAAGGCAAGCATCTGTAGTACCTTGGAGTCCCATGCGTTCAACAAGATGATCCATTTCTTTCCGCGGAATTGGAGATCAAACTCTGGGGGCAGGAGACAACCACAATTCCTAACATGAAAACTGAAGGAAAAGTTTTCATATTCAAATATTCTCAAATATATGGTTGAATTATTTTTATTCGCAAAATAAATATAAAAATAAATGAAAATTTATAAAGTAATAGCTCTTGTAATTTTTAAACAGGAATAACAAAACATTTTAATTTTGTTAAGTTTAGAACACTCTTTTAATCTGCTCTATGAATTCCTTAGCAATGAGAGTGTATGTGTGCTCTGTGGGATGTATCATATCCCAAAAGACATAATCACTTGGATTCTTGCACAGACCGCTCAATGTATTTTTATGTGTGAATCCAAATTGGATTGGGTTCTCCACAAAAGATTTAATTGGTGAGTAGCCATCTACGAATGCACTTCTCATCCCTGGTAATCTTTCTGCTGCCCTTAGAACAATCCCCCGAGCCTGTGTGTTGAATTGCCTTACCAAATTATTGATTTCACTCACGCAATTTCCTCCTGAAGTAACAATAGGTGAGCATCCTAGCGGCCCAACACTTGAATTGATGATCTTCCTAAAACCATATTCGTGAAGTTGTTGCAAACCTTTCTCTAATGACTCCAAGTCCACATCCATAATGTTTTGAAGATTTGCTGCGATATCATTTCCACCAGAAGAGATCACAACAACAAAGTCATTGAGATTCTTCTTCATGGAGAATTCCCTGAGTTGTTTTAGCTGCTCACTAAATGGAACGACACCCCAGTCCGAATGAATCGAGTCGAGTAATCCACTACCATCAGATGCAAAGTTGATACTAGGAAAAACTTGGTCCTCAGCTTTCAAACCCAGGAATGGCCTGGAAAAGGGCAAACCCAGGGCCTTGTTTATCAGATCTGGGATGATGAATCCATCACTGCACCTCCCAAATGGTTTGGCATACCGTGTTTCCCCATACGGAACAAAGTCACAATGCGAAACTGAGTTTTTCACGTATTTGTTAGTTCCTACATCGAAGATTGAATCTCCCATATAGATGGTCCTAAGCTGAGGAATTGACCTCCCAAACACGCACGCGCAGAGAGCCAAGATCACAAGCACGAACACTAAAATCCTCATCTCGCCAAAAACCTTTGTGGCAAGACCTATGCATAAGCTTGTTTATATAGAAGAGGGGAAAGGAAAAGGTTACTGCTAACTAAACTCGAAAACCTAAATTTTAAATGGTAAAGGTTCTATCTTTTTCTTTTTTATCTTCCAGAAGGATGTTAATGATGATCATTTGAACTCCACAAAGGTTCATTCTTAGGAATTGTTACGCTGTAGTTTCTCTTAATCTCGCGGCACACCTCATTTCGAGTTCCTTCATCATCTCCCATCTCTCCCTCGTCAAGCTTCGTTCGCCATAGCTCAAGGATAACAGGCGAGCCATTGTTAACCATCTACGCACAAAGAGAAACAAGGATTTTGTTACTCCCGACTCGGAGTAAGGAGAGCTATACCTGTGAAACGTTTCAGATCCTACAGTTCTATCCTTCTGGCGTGCGGCCACAAGATCTTCCTCCACAATCTGGCAGCCAACAGTTAGAACTCGGGAAGGAGAAAGACACTAGAGAAAAGAATACCTTCTGCATTGAAGGCTCGATAACGTGGTCGGCCTCCCGAGCACTGCTCAAATAAATACGCCATTTCGACAAGTCCGATTCTTCTGCATGGATACGTGCCGCTCCCGCGCTGCACCTTAAAGGTACGAGCGCATCAGCTGGTAAAATCCTCGATTTGCCGCAAGAAACCACCAACACGGGCAAATCTGTCGGCATTTCCATCTGATAATACTGGAAATCGTAGTCGACCTTTTGAAACAAACGAAAACATCAGCATACCACGTAAGAGATGAGCAAGACAAGACGTACTTTCTGAGACTCCATGACGCTCTTCAAGCTCTGCAAATTCTTGACACCGGTTTCGTTCAGCCTTCCTGCGTTCAAGGCAGTCTCGTCTAACGTAAGATGCGTGCCGCTTGCTAGTTGTAAACCACCAGTAACCAATCTACACATGAAACTATAGCAAGTGAGACCGGAAATGAAAAGAGAAAACGAAAGAAGCGTACCGATTGGTGGCATAATCTTTTCGTGGAGCGATCAGACAGGAGTTCAAGTCCTCGAGTGACAGCGACACCACTTGTGAACAGGGAAGAAGTACTGATATCGCGTGCCCGACTGCAGAGGCAACGAGTGATACGGAACCATCGGCACCAGCTTGACACCCGCTAAAGTTGAGGGAAAACTTCCCAACAGCCAAGGGCTCTACACGGCTATAAACCTGAGCGTCACAGTCAGAATAACACCGAGAAAAAAACGACGAGAATTGTGCATACCTTTGACAGAAGATGCAAGAGTAAATATTCCGCGGCGAGCCTGTCCTCACCGAGAACAGATTGTAATTTACAAACAAGAGATTCCCTCACGGAGCATATATCCGCCAAAGCACCCGGCTGACTAGGAATACTGTAAGCTGAAAGTTTTCTCATGGTAATACAGTGAAGTCGAGGAACCTTGAGATATCAAAGTCAGAGAGATAATGGAAATGAGCTTCTTACCGTGCTGGACGGTAACTGCAAGGAGGTGTCATCTTCCATCAAGGATTCAGCCAGAGCTGATGAATCAGAAGCCGAGCTAGAAACCAGTTCCGATTCTTTCCATACGATACCAACAAACTCTGCGATGTCATTCAACTTCAAGTCCCCATCATTTCCATCGTAAATCTGGCAGAAAAAAGGCAGTGGTTAAGCCTCAGAAACAAAAAACGGAATTCTCGACCTTGACGAGGCACGAGTTCTGCTCTTTCGTTGGAGAGTCACAGTCCATGCTCTGCAAAACGAAAAATATGATAAGAAGATCCATTTAAGCACATAAAAAGCTTTCACCTCCACAGTCGCTGGAACATCCTCCCGTTTGCGCTTCAAGCTCTGGCTAGTTGCATCCGGTTGTACAGCATTTGAATGCCATGTAACTTTCATCCATTGATTTTCACCAGGAATCTACAAACACTCGAAGAAACGTTGAAAGCCCTGAGAAAGAAGTGAAAACTTACTGGAACGCAATAAAACAGCCGTCGATCCCAGATTTGCTGCTCGGTATCTTGCGGAACTGGGGTGTCGGTGTACTTGTTTGTTTGCCAAGTATTGCAATCCTGTAACATAAATAACGATAGAGGACCTTGAAAAACAAAAAACTCAAGAGAAAGAGCAATACCTTGTAAGCGCCAACATAGTATTCCACATCGAACATATCTTGGATCTGTAAGAAACATAGATAAAAACTTGTTTGCAAACAAAAAATTTCGGAAAAAATGTACCATTCCCCGGAAGCGAACCAGCGAGCCAGAAGGAATAGAATCACGCGCCAAATCGCCAATGTGAGGAACCTAGAAGCGGCATTCAATTCCAGCCCGGCTAAGAAGTAAAAAGAAGAAAGCAAACCTGAGCAATGGCGCCTTCTTCGTACAAGAACTTGTCGAAGACTCCCTTGACGCCCCAGTCGCCCCCCGAGAGCTCCAAAGTTGCGGCTGGAGCAGGAGAAGCGGCCATGGCTGCAATGGAGAAGAGGCCTCGCACGGCGCCCAGTGGATTCCGCAGCAAATCCACCGCCGGCGCGACCATCGCTTAGGTTAAGAAATTCCCGCCATAATGAATATAAGTAGAATATACCAAAAGACCACGTCAATGTATATTCTAAAGACATTCTAGGTTACCGAAATATTTTCTATTCAATCAACTGGAGAGTGGTGTACGCACTTTCGTGGAGCCTAGGAGTGATCCTGGCTTTGAGAGTGTGTGCCATGAAGTTTACGATACCCATAGCTTCACCCATGGGCTGATCTTTCGGACTGCCAGGAAACTCCCACTCGAATCCATGAAGAAGATTGGAAAGAACAAGCTGGACGTTCTTAAGACCCAGAGAAAGCCCTGGGCAAGACCGCTTTCCAGATCCGAATGGAAGCAGCTCAAAGTCTTGGCCGTTGACACCGATGTTGCTGCCAATGAATCTCTGAGGTTGGAACTCCAGAGGATCACTCCAGACTTGAGGGTCTCTTCCAATTGCGTAGACGTTCACAAGCAGCGTTGCGTTCTTGGGGATGTCATAGCCAGCAACTTTCTGGGCCTCAATGGATGCGTGTGGTACGAGCAAAGCAACAGGAGGGTGGAGACGAAACGTTTCTTTGATGATGGCATTCAAAACCTCGAGCTTGGATATGTCTCCCTCTTCGACCATGCGTGTGTGTCCAACAACGGACTCGATCTCTTTCTGGGCTTTGACCATCCAATCTGGATGATGAAGAAGTTCCGCTAGAGCCCATTCGGTCACTGTGGATGATGTTTCAGATCCACCAAGCAATAGATCCTATCAAGATCACAAAAGAATCAAGCAAGTTCCACGGAGAAAACCAAACTTACCATGAGCAGAGATCTGAGATTGACCATATCGTTTCCAATGTGATTCCTTGTGATCTCCACGAAATCGGGAACCTCGCCCGGGCGTTGCTCGTCCAAAACCTTTTGCAAGAAGCCATTCATCTTATCCCCGGCCATCTTTGCACGGCGGGCGACCAAGTCGAGCCAGCTCAAGTAGGGGAAATAGTCAGTGATCGAGAATGCTGCTGCCACCTCGAGGTTCTCATCAATCATCGCTATGAAATTCGAGGCCTCCTTCGCAATGGCGGGATCGCCCGAGGCCTTGGATCCAAAATAAATCTTCTTCATCAGGATGCGAGTCATAACGTTGAAGCTGAGCGCCCTCAAATGTGATCTCACTCCCACAACTTGGCCAGCCTTGGAAGCTCTCAAGAACTCGCGACTGAGCTCCCACAGCTCGTCCCGGATGATGTGCGTGTTCATGCTCACCCTCTTAGCCGTGAAGAGCTCCGTGGCGCAGAGCTTCCTCAGCTTCTTCCAGTAGTCTCCATACGGCGAGAAAGATATGCTCTTGCAATTCACGACAATGGAGGCCACATTGTTTCGAGGCCTATACGCGAATTCCGTGTCGTTGTTCTTGAGAAACTCCTTGGCCATTGCTGGACTGGCGACCACGAACACAGGGACGGATCCCAGGCGTAAGTGGAAGAGCGGGCCAAATTTCTTGGAGAGCTGCTGGAGTGAGATGTGTGGGAGCCTGCCCAGGAGATGGAAGTGGCCGATGAGTGGCAATCCTCTTGGGCCTGGTGGAAGATTGAAAGATTTGCTGGAGAGCCATTGCTTGAGAATGAAAGCTGTGATGAGGAAGAGCGCGACTGCCCAAAGCATTGCTACTTTCTGCCCCTCAATTGTTGAAGCCCTCCTTTTGTATACCACTGGCTTACCCTCCTTTCCAATGTTGAATAGCGAGTAGCACGAGCAGCATCGATCAAAATGCACGTGATCGATCTTTGAAACTCTTTAACTCTTTAAACCATTTTCAAGGCAGCCTTGAGACTTGATTGGCGCTCTAGTCACATCCAGTATGTACTCACACATTGCCCACGCCAGACCTGCCAGTGATGATTTGAAACCAGAATCTGTATTATAAAGAAACAATTAGAACACATAGACATCGAAGAGGCCTAAGCACAAATACCAGGCGAGAATCATTTGGGACGAAGTTCACGTCATCTTGCTACGCAAGGATGCTTGCTTCCTTCCAAGATAATATCGCCCTCATTTTAGTAAAATGAATGAAACTTCTTAGTATAGTTTTTTAGCAAGCTTGCAGTACCTGTCCAGTGATAATAGGCCTTATTTAAGGCATAGGACTGCTTACAGCCAGATCCACAAAGCTTAACAAGACATCTAGTTCCGCTAGCAGGTTTGCCACACCATTGCGGTAAGTCAAAACGTATAAAATCACCAACATAGAAGAATCGACGAGCATACCTGTGAAACCTGAGCCTCTTAACAAGATCCCTTTGAGTGTTAGTGTAATTTTCTGTCAGGTTCCCATATCTTTTGCTAAGCCTTCGAAGCCTGGAAGTCGTGGGCTTTATAGTCCATCATTTGGCATCACATGACAGCAGCTTAAAAATCATCAAAGCTGACTGTGATGCCTTGGAGGAAGAGATCCGTGCATAAACAAGCCGTGAACGAT